GAATTCTATTGTAATCGGTATAATTGGACATGTATTGAACCAATGAGACCAATGCTAATTGCATCAATAAAAACTTTATCACTAAGTAAATAAATATATATTTATATATTATATGTACATATAATGTTTAGGTTATCAATGTACATTCTCGGATTCGTCTTCGAAACGACCTAGAGGTCCTCCTAAAGGATTTGTAGCATTGATAGAAGATAGATTACACACTATAGAATCTCTTTTGGTTAATCTCGTCAATAAAGATAATACTAATGAACTTAATAAGGAAATCAAACGAGAAAGAGAAACAACAATCGAGGAAACAACAACAAGTACACGACAAAAATTCTCTACATTTAAAATACGACATTATTCTCCTTCAATAACCACAAATTCACAGCACCATTTATTCATTCCTTCAACACCTCCTGCCGATGCGACTGGATTTTCCGGATTTTCCGAATCTCCAACTTTGATCTCTTCTTATAATGATGAACTAGTCAGTGATGATGAGGATATACTTCACCAAAATTTGGTTTCTCCAAATAACGCTAATAGTTTACAAAGTAGCAATCTTTTATTTCTTATCAATCCAAATCAATCTACCGGTGCTTCATATGTCGATCCTCCATTACCATCATCCATACCACAACTGAGTAAAGCTTTGCCTGCTGATGTCACACAATTATTATTGGAAAAGTATTTTAATCATTTTCATCCATATTTTCCCATCATCAACCGAGCAAAATTTTTCAGACATTTATCAAACCCTAATGTCGAAGACCAACCTTCTCCGTTACTTCTTAATGCTATTTATTCTGTTGGTGCTTTATTCCCCCCAGCACTTCCGGACTCTTACAACCCTACAACATTTTATGATCGAGCACGAAGTATGAATCTAGTTAATTTTTTTTTATATTTAATCATTATTTTTACTAATCTTTGATAATCTCGATTGTTAGATATGTTGGACATTTTTATGGATGCACCTAGAGTGTCAACTGTTCAAGCATTAATACTTTTGTGCATGGTTGACCAAGGAAAACCAACTTCGTACAGACCTCAAACCTATTCTTCTATGGCTATCAGAATGGCTCAAAGTATGGGATTGAATCGAAGGAATGGGACTGTATATCAAGGCAAAGGTCGACCAACAAAAAAACTTGTATGGTGGGGATGTTTCATAGTTGATAGACTTAATAGTCTTGCTACAGGAGACCCTTTGGCAATTAATGATAGAATGTGCGACATAGAACTTCCTTCGCCAGAAGAAACAGATGACCAAGATGATGATCAACAACAATCGCCCCAACAACCAAATCCACATAGTTCAACATACGCACAACAAATAAACATTTTTGTTAATTTTATAAGACTTGCCCGATTAATTGGTCAAATAATTGAGCACCTTCAATCGACTTCTTGTATTGGAATGTCATCATCCTGGACTCATCATCTTATGGTTTCTAATTTTGAGACATCACTCGGAGCCTGGCACCGGGAATTACCTCACTATCTGCATTATGCACCTTCGCCACAGCATATGCCACTTCCCGGACATATAGCATCAATTCATATGCATCATCAGACCCTTTTTTTGATACTTCATTACCCTTACATAGCAAATAACCATGTTAGACAATCAAACTCACGAATGACTAAAACCTATCAAAAATCGTTAGCCGTTTGTACATCAGCAGCAAATACCATAACACATATAGGAGGTACGTTGTGACACTATTTAATCTATTACTTTTATTACTTTTATTACTTTTATTATTTATGTTAATGATTAATTACTCACACAATAATTCATAATAATATATACTTTAGTTGAAGCATTAAATAATATCAATGTATGCGTAACATTTCCAACCATGTTTCACTGCCTAGCAAAGGCAGCAAAAGTTCATGAGATCAATATTGCATCTTCACATCGAGGATTAGCCATACCATCATACAGAAACATTGTAAAAACGATCAAGATTTGTCAATTCTATCAGCAAAATAATATAATGACAGAATTGGCCAGTCAAACTATTAAAGCATTGGAAAATATTTTGATAAAATATCAAGAAAAGTTTGCTAATGAAGGTATTTCTTCATCTTCATCCTCAAATATTCCTACACATATAAAGATATCACCCACTATGACGAATCAATCATATGGAGAATCAACGTCAACGATAGACAGAACCACACCATCAATGATTGCATCTTATGTTGGATATACATCATCACCTACGTCTACAAATACCACCACCAAGAGAGGATCAACATCTCCAACAAACATGCAACAGACACAAAATTTTACATATTCTTCACAAACAGAAGGAACTGGAACTCAATATATTCCAATAAACATTGGTAATAATCAAATATTTGACCAATTTGACACCATGCAAATGCAATCACCGACCGTCATGTCACCAACAGTCACGACAGATATTTGGGAACTTGGAGTGAATTTTGCATCACAATCTGGTATAGTTGGATTCAATAACAATTCTTATAATCAGATGACAGTACCTTTAGCGACTTCAACGACAACAACACCATCATTGCCACCAAGTACTTCAGCATCACCTACAGACTACTTCACTTCACAACCAATGCAGCAACGACAAAGACAACAAACACCTACGACCACCTCATCTCCTATCAATTTCTCGACCAACACGTTTAAATCTCATACAAGAACAAATCCAATGTCCTTGGACTCCATCGAACATGAAAGTGAAACCGGAACAACAATGATGACGGAACCATTGAGGAATATAGGATTACAAAATGTTCATAATTCACAGCAAAGGTATGTCTTTATGGATACGAATGACAATAATCCCTCTATTGACAATAATATCAATAATGGGTTTGTTGTTGAGGGAAGTGGTGTCTATGGTCGAATGTCTTCCTCCAATGAGACTCACCTCCGAATTTTCAACAAGATCCCACAACGTCTGAGGAAGAAAGAAGACGACATAAACTACTATACCGAATACCCTTCTAATAACGATCAATCAAGAATGTCTAACGCTAATGCCATAAATGTCCTATCTCGAAGACCGAGTTGCGGTCATTGCGGAGGTTTCAAGTTTGGTAATCCCACTGGTTATCTTGAAGTCAATTCCATCGGTGTTGGCCATGGTGATGATTATGAACAATATGATGGATTATAAGTGGTTTTATAAGTTTATTTGGTAGTATTATATATATATATATATATATATCATTTTATAAAATATTATTTATAAATTATTATTAAGATGATTTAACTTATTATATTCATATCACACATCTATATCAATATGATTTTATTCATCAATGTCTTCATTTATTATCAAATTCTGTATTTTGCATTATATTTTTTTTTCCTTTTTTTTACATGTAGATACAACATTATTTATTATTTATGTATTATGTTTATATACTATTATTTGTTATTACCTACTTATTATTATTTATTATTATTATTTAGATTTGTATGAACATCAGGATCTTTTTTTAAACAAATATTTAAACTTTATTTGCATATATAGACATGAAATTTTAAATGCTTTTTTTA